AAAATGCAATCATTACTCATGTCTATCTGCTTCCAATACTTCTCATTGTTCTGGTTATTATTTTTGCTATATCTTTAATCATTTACACAAAAAATTCTCACGATTCTAAATTTCAGTCAAGTTCAAGTGGAATCATCGCTCGATCTGAGCTACTCATATTTGCGGATCTCTGTTTCCTCAGATGAGTTCATTTCGTTGCAACTTTCGTTTTATTCTGTGTGTACTAATGTTTTTGTATGGAATCAATGGATCATATGTGTTCTGCAATACGACCGTAAGTTCTCGTGTTACTCGACTCCTGAATTACAATTGTATGTACGTCGAGTAAGCTATAATGACCCGTAACTATCATTATTGTTTGATTGATAACTAATTCACATCCAATACATGCATAGGACCCTTTGGAATCCTGTCTATTATACAACTGCTATCCTTTTCAAGCTATTATCTTATTCCAAACTACTAAGTTGTAAAATTATCTATTTGTTAACAAAAATAAACGCCATATTTTATTATATCCTATGTAAAGAAACAAACACTGAAGGAGTATGATACGAGCTCAAAAACATAGATTCGGACTAAGTCCTGTAAAACAACAGTAAGAAAAAAATTCGTTAGAGAAAAACAAGAACGTTGATGAATAACCGATTGAAACAGTCAGTTAATGGTCATGGACTTATCTATAATAAAAATAAGAACAGTTCATATGAAAAAAAGAACTATCAACAAAAAAAGTAATAGAGACATGAATAAGCGATGAATCTTGTCGATGGATAAGGCACACGGTTATCTGAAATAGAAAAGGAGAAAATATCTGTAAAAAAAATGTAATAAAAAGCATAAGGACGATCGCTTATCGACGTATATAGTCAATTGGTTGTTATGAAACGATCTAAAAAAAGAATTTCTAGAAAAAAGCTTATACATGGAAACGGCTAGAAAAATGATTTTATACCGATGGATATATTCGAATAAGTGTTATGTAATTATCTAAAACAAAAAGAGAAAAACTGAATGATGATCACTTATCGATGCACATACATATTTGATTGATTGCCATCAAATTATCTATCAAGGGTGTGAGTGGGTGTGAATGTGGATGAGCGTGGAGTGTAAGTGTGGGTGTTGATCTATTCTTTATCTACACCCACATTCAGTCTTGTACTCAACTAGACAATAAAGTGAAAGATGAAATAACAACTATGTTTGTCTCCCTAATATTTTCAACACGCTCTAGTTTTATCGAAATGAGAAAAAGATACACATCAATCTCGACTTGGAGAGTTCCTTTGTATTACCTTACTTCCTCACATGACTGATAACACTATGCGTAATATCATAAATATGAAAACAAAAGAGAACAAAAAAAGAAGTTTTTATCTATATAGCGTATAAAAGAGGTATATAATCATATGGCGCACATTTAAGAGACTCATTTCATGAAAGATTTATATTTTTCTTTTTGAAAAAAAAGTCGGCTTCTGTATGTATCAGAAAGCATCAGAAACCACAGCCACAGCGATAAACCTAAGTATTGTAGGTGAAAAGATCAATCCGTCTCCATACAACTCATTACAAAATTTTGAATTATGTAACAAAGTTGCAAAAGGTCACTTTTCCACTGTTTATTTTGGAACAAATGTACCGACTGGAGTGAAGGTAGCGTTAAAAAAAGTTCAAGTAAGTTTAATAAATTATTGAAAGAGGTTATTTAACGAGTGCCTACATATTGCATACGAATGCTAATTTTAGCTCGCTAAAATGGTCGATAGGAAAGCAGTTGAAGATTGTAAAAGAGAAATAATTTTGCTGCAAGTAAGTGATCTTGGAGTCGTAAAAATCTTGCGTAAACATTTTTAAACACGTTCATTATTATTCTAGAAACTTGATCATCCAAATGTAATTAAATATATTTCCCATTTCACCAATACTAATAATGATCTTTACATAGTTTTGGTGAGTTTTTTTTCTATTATTTTTGCATAGTTATTGTTTTTCTCGACCTCTATCTTATAGGAACTAGCTAGCGCAGGTGATCTTGCTAAAATGATTGAAGTATGCTATGTTGAATATATGATTTTAATTTCCGATAACTTTCATTGTGACTAATTATTTCATTTCAGTATTTTACACAACACAATAAGTTACTACTAGAGAAAACAATCTGGAAATATTTTAGTCAGGTTTGTCTCGGTTTAGAACATATGCATGCAAAACGAATCATGCATAGAGGTAAACATGAGACTATGCTTTTATTTTAAACATTTGACTTTTCTCTTCTCCGAATTGAAGACATTAAACCAGCAAATATTTTTATCAGTTCCCAAGGAACTGTAAAATTGGGTGATCTTGGTTTAGGTGAAACGATCGTTTATTGTGTATTTCTGATTTTTATATGCTACAGTCTTTCTTGTTTTGAGGTCGTTTCTTTCCCAGCGAAATCGATTTCACACATTCTAAACTTGGAACACCCTATTACATGTCTCCAGAACGAATAAGCCAATTGGACTCAGGCTATAGCTTTCCAGCAGATATTTGGTCACTTGGTTGTGTTCTATATGAAGTGAATTGTAGAAGCTGTTTATGTTCAACTCTATTTATGTACCTTTCTTTTTATAGATGACTGCTCTTCGAAATCCCTTCTTCGAGAAAAATCAGACCCTGTTAGGCTTATGTAAAAAAATCGACGAACTTGATTACCCACCATTGTCAAGCAAATTATATTCATATGCAGTAAACTAACCAATGCAATGTCAGATTTGTTTAATTTCTGAATTCTTTATACTTTTAGTTGCGTGGTTTAGTGAGTTACTGCCTAACATTAGATCCAAAATGTCGTCCGATTATCACAGATGTTACTCAATTGTCAGTGAAAATGTACAAACAACTATTGAACGACTCATTCACATCGACCACACCCACTTCGACAGATAGTAGCCCACCAGATTCTGGCTTTGGATCAGCATGAATTACTCTGGAGTACAGAGTTCAAGTTTCAACTTATAATTAGTAAATCAAGAGATTCTTTAGAACTCGTAGAACGATACTTCTAAAGAAAGTCTTCGATTGTTTGTGCCAAACTACTATATTATATTAGATTTTTCGTAATTGATAAAAGTTATAAAAGCAAGTTTGCGTAATAAAAAGTATTGACTTGTTCATAAATGAATTTTGATCGAAAACAATAAACAACGACAAGTACATTGAACAGTATATCATTAGCTGGATTTACTCAATAAGAAAATGGTAACACCAATGATATAGAAAGTTTTGGCGAACATTTATAGCATAGACGATGGAGAAAACTTCTAAATTCCCAAACTCCTATATGTGTTTAGAAGGGATAGTGTAGATGTATTTAGAAACAATAACTATATAGCTATCCCACCTGTTTAGATGGACAATATAACGCCAGCTTGGTTCACAAATTTAATGAGAGTGTTTGCCCAGTAAGAGTGTGGAGTGTGTGGGTGTGCGTATGGATGTTAGTGAGCTTCTCTTCTTACAAGCCCACACTTTCCAAAAAGTCAAGTTTTCCGATGATTTTCATAATGTAAGAAGGCGCATATCTTTTGTCAAATGCTATATAAAAGAAAATGCTTTATTGTTGTATGGATTCTACTAAGCATTAATCTGCAGTAAGCTTTCATCTAAAATATCAGTACATGTGATTTTTGTGGGAAAAAAACCACCTTTTCATGGAAAAAATTATTTCGCAGTTAACACTTGATGTTATAATAGGACGAATTGCAAAGCTAATTGGTTGCGCACAGAAATGGCATTCGAATTGCAATTCAGTCCTCCCAGAAGAGGCGCAAAATATGTGTCATAGCTGTTCGTAAGTCACAATGATGCAATTACAATACTGCGCAGATAACTCGATTTTGCTGTTTCGACACAACAAAAACAGTGTATCTGGAACTACTCTGATTTAGATAGCTATAATTTCACTTCAGTTACTCTAGTATTCAACTATTTAGTTATAGTTTCATCAAGTAATATGTCTTGTATCTGTGTTTTCTGCGACGCCATCTGCGAGAAGGGAATGATTCAAGAGCTGATGATTCGAATAATATATCAATAATTGATTTCAAGTTTCAAGTTTGACACTAATGAGTTCTCTCGGTTCGTCAATTTACATAAATGAATATTATAGAACTAATTTATTCACCATTCGTGCTCAATCATTACTGAATTGATTCTTGATGACATCTAATAAAAAATTCTTTTTTTTATTCAGGATTAACGTAGATTTTAACGGTTGCTCATATGTTTTTTCACAGAATTTCATCGACTCATTTACTTTTTATTTTTCTTGGTGTCAGAATCTTATAACAGGTATCAAAAATATCAATACCTTCATTACAGTGGTATATATTCAAATTCGAGTGATATGTACAGCAAATCTAGTGTCATATCTTGGTAAGATGTCTCAGTGATTAATGCGGATTTTTGCAAAAACTTCTTTTCCATTGGCAAAACATTGACACAAACAATTAGTATAATAAACAAAGAGTCTTCTAAGAGTTAATAAAAATATTGAAAATATATTTTCAAATTAGTTGTATTACCATTCAAAAAAAAATTTCCTTTTTCCTTCCTATCAAAATATACGCTATTGAAAAACATGCATTGAAAGCAGTTTCATCATACGAGTATAATCAAATTTTGTTTAAGCTGCTGATACCTTCCAGTCGAATGTCAAATGTTGACACCATCAATATAATATTGTTTTCTGAACTCATTTCTTTTCATGTTTAAAAACAAACAAAAGGAAACAGGAAATTGCATTTTGATAATGACATTTCCTTAAACATTAGTGAAATAACTGTGTCACTTTATCTATGAGAATCGTAAAGGAAAGAAAATATTATTTCTATATTTTCACAGTAGTTTTAGAGTGCTGTAAGATAGTGCACCAGCGATCAAGAGAATTCATTTATTCAAACCTACAGGCTTCATTATATTCTCTCTCATTTGGTTATTCTCTCGAAGAAGCAATGACATTTGACAACCATTCAGTTATAACCAATATTGAATCATGGTTTATTCCTTTTGATATTCTTATGATCGTATGTACTGTCTTGGCCATTGTTTTAGCATTAATTTTTCTATTGACCATTATTCTTGATAAAACATGTCACACAGTACCAATGATGCTTCTAGCAAATTCATGCTTAGCTGAATTCATATTTGGAAGTGATATGCTTAGCATGGTTTTATTCACATATCAAAATGATCTTCATCAACTTCAATATCAAGATTCACTTTGTATCTTTCGAGGCTTTTTAGGCTATGTAGTAACTATCTTACAAAATTATTCTTATTTACTACAAGCTATCTATCGATATATCACTGTTGTTTATCCAAATCGTTTATTTTGGCAATCAGTGCGATTTCAAGTTTGTCTTATTCTTGCGATATGGATTTTTGGCTTTGTATGTCCTTTACCATATGTATTGAATCATGAAATCGAATATAATATCGATAATCAAATATGTCAAATGTCTCTTAAACTATCTTTTTTAACAGTTTATAATGTATTATGTGTTTATATGGTTCCTGTCTCATTAATTATGTTAGTATATTTCAAATTAGTTCGATATGTTCAAGATATGAGTAAAAATGTTACACCAGCTAATACATTATGCCGAGCACAAAAAGAATTAAAAATGGTTCGTAGAATAGTGATTCTTGTCATGGGTATTGTTACGATTGGTTTTCCTTATGCATTGTTTGTTTTTATATCATTTTTCACCGCACCACCAAAATACCATTTTCGAATTGCATACATATTTGTTGATACATCACTTACATTTGTAATGATTGCTCTATTTCAATTTACAGAACCATTGAAAATATCTATAATAAAAAGGATAACTAGGCAAACAAATATCGTAATACCAACAATAATGTAATTGGTTAAATTTGAATTGGTGGCAACATGGAAAAATTTTAAACATGTGTGAATAACTATTTACATTATTTATTGAAAATATTGGATTAATATTGGATTACAAACAATGTAGTTTTGAAAAAATTCAAAGTGGAATCAACTTTTGTGTATTCTTATTAGTCTGTAATAGTTCAGTTTTGTTCAGTTAATTTTTTTCCTATCGACTAATGCATGTATGGATGCATATATCAGTACTAAATAATCTTAATGCTTGACTTTTATTATTTCTAAAGTAATGTCAAAATCTTCTTTATTTTTCTGGCACATATTTTCTACTACGTAGAAAACATTAATTTGTCATTGATCACTATACCCATTTTCGTCACGAGTGTAACATAAGTTATTGACGATTTCGTATATGATACTGCATTTCAATACACTGGTTTTGCACAGTCTTCATGATGCGAACTGAGATGATAATATTTTAGTTTAACATGGCATACATGGTGAACTATCGAATATAAATCGATAAGGAACGCATGAAATACTAGTGAGGAAACGATTACCGTAAATTTGTCTTTTTCCATATATTGAATAAAGATAAATAATTGGAAAGTCATTATTTTCGCGATTTACTATGAGATACATCAGTTGATATTGTAATCAATTTTGTAAACTATAGTAGTTGTAATAATCTCCTGGTTGAAAACGATTTGAAATATTTTTTATTGAAAAATAATTTGATTTACTGTAAGTCTTGAACATGTTTTCTAAGATTTTAGACTTTAATACTTAATTTGCAACAATCTGTAATGTCTTTTTAATGACTAGAACTCTTCACTCGAATTAAAATCATGGTGAGTGATGATGATGATTACTATTATTGTAAAAAAATAGATTTTGAAGATAGTAGAAAAGCAAATGTTCGCTAAATATCGCGGTACAAAGAGATATGATTAGCACTTGACACTTTCTTCTCTCAATCGTTTAACCTTATGATGCTCTTAAGATTGCGTGAGCTCAGTAATTATCTAGGTCTGCTTTATCAAGCAAAAGCTTGTCGCATTTTTCTTTTAGAAATATTCAATAGCTATATAACTTGTGTTCCTAAAAGGTTTTACTAAGCAAGAAGAGTGGAAATCTTTGGTTTAGATTTTCGACGCAAGCAGACTCGTTTATTCTCTATCATATCTACAGTCATTTTCTCTATGTGATCAAATGAACTATGGTCAACTGTAGCTTCACAACATATTGAAGAGAAATAAACAACGTTGTGGATCCTGAGTGGTGCTGCTCATACTAAAAGCGTTTCTTTAGACAGAACAATGTTGGTTTTTTTCCAACAATTGAGATTGTATATTGTACAGCCTTCATCAAACTTGTCAAATGGAGAACCATTGTCATCATGCAAACAGATGAATAACATGCTTGTCTTTCATAGAAAAACTGAAAGAAACAAAATGTACGAACACTCATCCTATTCCGTAATGTTGAACATTGCGGAATCAGTTCCGTACCCGAAACCAGTTTCATTCAATTCCTGGAACTCGATCGTCATTCACAATAACAGACCTAATAGTCAATGACAGAGTTCCGTCAATTTCCGGAACTTAGGCCAGACGGAATTACTCCGAATTCCCAGCAATTCCGGAACCGGAAGGAATTCCAGCCAATTCCTAGCAATTCCGGAATTGTACGAAATTCCGTCGGATTCCGGAATTCTGGGAATTGAGTAGAGATGGAATCTCCACCAATTCCGGAATCGGACAGAATTCCCGGGAATTCCGTTCAATTCCGTGCGATTCCCTCTCGACTCAATTCCCGGAATTCCGTACCGAAATTACTTACTTATTCGAGAGAATAATCTTCAGTCACAACACTATGCGTGACGGTGAGGACTGGAAGTAATTTCGGTACGGAATTCCCGGAAGTGAGTCGAGACGGAATTACATAGAATTGCACGGAATTCCGTCCGATTCCGGAATTGCTGGGAATTCAGGGGAATTCCGAGAATTGGATGGAACTCGGTCAGTGACGCGTAGATCTGTTATATTGAATGATGATCGAGTTCTCGGAATTGGATGGAACTGGTTTCGGGGGCGAAACTGATTCCGCAATGTTCAACATCGCGGAATAGGATGTATTCTCTTAAGTAGTGGCTTTCGGGACATCCTTCACATAAAAAGATGCTAGTGCAATCCGTAAGAAATAAAACTACGCAATAGTTCTCACGATTAGTGTTATGCTTGATTATTATATATATTCACTAATAAAAGGAGAATATATAAAGTGAAACAAGAGAGTCAACTATTGTAATTGCATAAAATATGGTTAATAAATAGGAACAAAATGTGAGTGTCAAGCGTTGAATCTATCATAATTGGAGTATCATCTCAATACCATGAGATTACTCATTGTTTACACCAGCACCTCTTTTCATCTATGTCATATTTACAATAGCCACTGATAGCATGTTTTACCCATCGACAGACTAAGCTGCACATACCATCATTAAAACAGACACCGGGATAGGATAGACATCGAAAATCAGCCGTAATCCGAGATGTTGCTGAAGGTATAAAATAAAATATTCGATTTCATCTTAGTCAATAACAGATTAAGACTTACTGAAACATAGAATTAGAAGAGCAATTACCAGAATAAATTTAAGAACGCCACTAGTAGCCATTTCTTTTGGATTAATAATTTCAAATTCACAAGTCTATCTGGTACTGTTACCAACAATAATATAGTATGACTATATATTGCAATCTATTGTTTAGCACGTATTTTTATATTCTCAACAAAAGAAAAAAGAAATTTAAGAAAGATACGTTTTATTTGGAATTTATCCTTTCTTACATCATGTTCATTATCCAGCCAATTTCGTATGGCTATTAATGTATCGCATATTGACGTAGGTATAACGAAGGTGACACATATTTAGTCAGTAATAATATTGCGTAGACCATCAATGACGCTGAAAATAACATAAAATACATGAATCATCAAATAATAACGATAGAAAATAGAAGATTCATAATAAGTTCCAATTATAAGTTTCATTCGAATTTTGTTTGTTTATGTAATGGAAATCTTGCTACTGACAAGGGTTACCGATGTTTAGATACTGTCAACCATGGAGGCAAGGATTTTTCCATCAACATTCAGGAGTGGTTTTCTCTCTAACTAACGAGTAAACAATCAGTATTGACAAAGCATTCGCTTTCTTTCTCTTTCTATGAAATATGTTGCTCTAGCAGGAGGATGTTGTCATCAACCTACAATTAATTACAGTTTATCCTTTATTTCTCAATAGATAAGTGACCGATGACTCTGTCGATGGATTTCTCTCTCGTTCAACAATGGTGACGTCGCTACCATATGCTAGAAAGAATGAAAATGAATAGTTACCATGCCACTTTTGAACAACCACACGTATATACTCTCTTTTCGATCTCTGTCAACGAAACAAAATATGTAAGCATGTGAATGATGTCGCACGCGACCCATCGATTGCGAAGGTTGCTAATTAATATCTACCAGAAGATAGATGATCTCATCTGATCAAAGACATATTGCGATAACTAGAGCAATGCAGATCATGATTTGTATTGTTCATTTAAAATCAATTAAAAATATTCTAATAATCATTTGTTTATTTTCAAAAATGATCCAAGAAATGAATAACATTTAGAATCAATTGAAAAATGTTTTAAACGATTTCTTTCGTTAAATAGAAATTAATGAAATGCGTTTTATCATGTAGTCTTTGCTGAAATATTGGGTTTCAGTCGATATTATTTTCTATAGTTGTTATATATTGTTTTTATTGACGATAAACATTTTGAGAAGTTACTAGTTAGTCATTGATACAATAGTTCTTCTCCTGATAGTTTTTTGAATATGAGTAGACATTCATTGAAAAATTGGGAGAACTTTCAGCTACAATCGAACGATGCATGAAAGTTAAATTTGATGAAATCATACGAAATATGGGAATTTTGCCTTAGATACTTTCGAGAAAAGGACTTAGTTTGATCAGATGTACTAGTAGAAAATTATTGAATGTAAATCGTTATTGTATTTTTTTGATTATGCTTAACATGTAAATGCATTCTCCATTTTAGAAAAAAAAATATGAATATTGCGAAAAGACAAAGCCAACTTAAAACATCTGGTGATGTAGAAAAATCATATATTCGAAATCATCAATCGGACCTTAATGAATTATCTATTTTTTTTCGAGTTATATATCCATCAAGTTAAGTGTTATGCGATCTCTGCACAGGAATAGAAATCATTAAATCTAAATGAACGATACATTTTTTTTATATTTAACAGACGATTATCTTCCTAAATTCTCGAATTAATCATCCGTTTCGTGTTGTAAAATAGTTGAAAGAACGATATCACTTTGGAGATATTGTCATAAAAAAACATGAGTCACTGACATACATTCTCTATTTAGAATCAGTAAATAAATATTTCTTTTCTATTTCGATGCGATAAGTAGAATAAATCCATTACAAAGCCATTATTTATATTTCTGTTTGTCAGAATTGGAAGTTCGATTTCTTCAATCGCATCGTATTTACATATTTCTTCTTTGTTTTCATCGAACCTCTGTGAAAACTAAACAAATTTAGTCTACAATGTTTTAAAGTTCACCATATTCCAAATGGACATCAAACTATGTTTCATTGTGGTCAAATCATCAACAGTCTCATTAATCGGTTTGATTAGATCAATATGTTCTACTATGGAATTTACCAACCATTTAAAACCTTCATGAATACCTTCATTTTGAATGGCACAAGATGATTGCAAATGCCATTTAGAATTATCATTCAGTTTATTTAAATTCAATGTCATTGCATTGGATAAGTCTTGTTTATTAGCAAAAATAAGAAAATGCTTGTTTCGAAGTTCTTCTTCATTTAGCATTTGAATAAGTTTATCGCGTGCTTTATCAATGCATTCTCTATCATTTGAATCAACAACAAAGATAAATCCCGAAAATCGGCGATATTAAATACGTTGATAAGCACGAACTCTCGTGCGCCCACCCTCATCCATGACAAACATAGGGATATTGTCTATATTTATTAAAATGTCCGAACTGATTATTGATGTTATTATAACATCTTTGCCATATTTCGTGACATTAAGTAAATGTGTTTTGCCTAAATGAAAACACATGTAAAAATAAATATGGGCATACACTGCAAGTAGGATCAATTCGCTGCTAAACGTGCTACCAAATTTTTTACTGATCAATTGCATTTTTGCAGAGAAATAACGCTGACATAGGACTGTACGATAACAGTCTGCGATAGAAACAGAAAGAGTACGACAAAAAAATTATTAAAACAAACTGATTATCTATAATGATGATACTGTAAGATTCACTAAAGTATATATTATTCTACAAAATGCAATAGTTCATTTTCTATTCAAAATCGATTATGCAGCTAATCGCTAGTAGAAAGATTTCAAAGAATTCTTGACATAAGAATATGAATGTGACTGTGGATCCAAAGATGAACTAAACACGCATGCCTTCTTATAAATCAATGTTAATACAAATCAATGAATTATATTGAGAAAAAAAGATCAGATAAATCATGCTTCGAGATAATATTGCAAATCGACTTCGTTTTATCGAGAAGGCAGGACTATATGCTCCAAAAATACGTTTTTTTTATGAATCTGTCTATCTTTATCTATTATAAGGCTAAAAGAACGGTAGAATGAGTGAATATCTATAATTAATCTCTGAATTGTGAGTTATATTCTCGAAATAAACCCAAAGATGTATCTTGATATGAATGAAACGTCCTCGTCACATCTATCGTAGGATATCAAATGTATTGTATAAAAAATGCATCTGAGATGGTTAAACTTCAAAACCAAAGTTTAATCACGTTTCATTACTGATTTTCTTTCATTTGTGCGCATTTTTCAAGTACAATTACATTCCATTTCCACTATTTTACTAAATAATTCTAATTGAAAAGGAGAGTTTTAAATGATTAGAGTATATGAATAGGTCACAAACGAAGAAAATAACAAGAAAACTCAGTATACATACCAGCCGATTGAAGTCCGGATATAAATACTAGCAATGGTTTCTGGCCTTTGTTAGAGGCGGCTACTAGTTTCTGATATGATAAACCCATTTTAATTAATGATATTTCATGTGATTTGCTAATATAGAACTGTCACGATCGCTCTGCTTTCTATTAAAAACGCTTATGAATCTTTCACAGTCATAGATGAGTAACATGCTTGTTTTTCTTTTTCTATTACATGGCCAAAATTGCACAAGAACGGTGCAGTTTCTCTTATGATTCACCATCTATTGCTCAGCAATAGTTATTCGACCAACTTTGTTTTTAGCTGTTTGAAGATGTTGTAAGCTATCTTCATGATTAAATGATACTGATGATATGTATTCAGTACATAATGTACATGCACTACATTGAATAAAAATGCTTGAGGTGTGCAAAATATCATCAACCAGTTGCTAAAAATTCTCTCTTTTCTCTATGATGTTACTTTACTTGTAAACATTAACAGAAAATAATCAAGTTAGAATTATAGAACAACAATAAAGTCTATCAATTTAAATTATATCATAGCGTTAGTGCGAATATTTTTATTAACTTGCCAAAGCTCTATGGAAGAGAAAATGTTTTTTGTCGATTCTGTAATTCCGTATTGAAGATCTAATTGTGTCATAAATAAAAATGCTATCTTCTCCAACCTAACATGGTCAAGACATCGTTGGAAAATGTTTTTCTTCTAATGACTCTTCGAATTTCAAAATGGGTGTTTCCATTGACGAAAACAATAACTATCAATGAATTCAACATGTAATTTAGTTTTCCAATGAAAAAGAATAAAGGAATCGTCGAATTTTTTCTTCTTTAGATAAAACGTCTTCTTAAACATATAACTGTACTGACAAATGCCGTGCGGCACAATATAGATTCATATCATTGTATTATGTCTTGAATTTTTGGATATTTTCAGTGCTCGATTTTGTATGATTCTCTCACTTGTGCAACATTGAAACTGTTTGAGTGATAGCTGTGACATCTAAAGCGTTGAATTTTATTGATCGATAAGATAGGTGTTGGTTAGTGTGAAAATTGCTTCCATCTACATCTGTACCCTCAAGGCGTTGCCATCAATCTGATTAACATTAACAATATTTTCATATACATTTCATCAGTTTCTAGAAATATTGCATATGTTTTCATTTAGTCTTCAGTCTACAGCTGGCTAATTGTTCGCCAGATAGTGTGTATGCTTAGTGCAAAGAGATAATGACAACATTGGACCTATCAATGTCGGTAACGACAGAACAATCTTTTTTTTTCTTCGGCACTATTCTTAATAGGTTTTTTTATTGTTTACTTTATGACGAATTATTACTTGCCTTTATATGGTATCAATTGGCATCAAAAAAGAAAGAATACATTCTATTATATCTGAATATTTTTTATGCCGATATATGGCACAAATATAGATTATTATTGTATACATAATAATTATGGATGCTTGTCTCGTTGAAACTATGGATGATAATGGATAGATTGTGAGTAAATAGGATATATTTTCAGAACATTGATTTTCATATGGAATTAACGAGAGATCGAACTCAACTGTAATTTTCTATTTGAGCTCATATTGGACACACAAAGAGGTTTTGGTAAGATTAGAAAACTTAAAAAGTCTTGTACTTATGTTTGTTTTACTGAATTATCAATTCATTATTAGATATTTGATAAAACATCAGATAATAGAACTTTAACCTAAAATTTTGCTCATATATAGGTCTTATAATTCTGAACTTAATTCCTTGTTGGGATATTCAATTTTCAAGTAAACTTAATCTTAGTGATATATCTATGACAAATAATGATTTTTGTGGAAATTCAAGATCTCGACAGTGAAACATTATTTTCGGCTGAGAACTTTCTCATATATCCAGAGTTATCAGATCTATCTAGGGATGAAATTTCACTAAAACGGTCGTAATTCGGCTCTAAAGGCTTATGAATACGGATCCTTTTAGATATTTTCTAGTGTTATCTAGATCTGCGTTTATAGCTGAACTTAAAAACAAACGGAAAAATCTTAGCCAAACCTTAGAACTATTGAAAGCTGAAGGAGAAAAGCTTGGAGAACGATAAAGTAGACAAATGCAAAAGCCTATCAACAACACTAATATACTACAAGTACATGTTGATAGTCCAAACCCTATTACGACATGAGTGATAAACTTAGTTGTATTCTGAAAGTCAACTTCTCTGTTATATTCAGTTGCCAATGAAAATTTCTTTCTCAATCTCAATTCAATCATATTTTGTTGTTTGGTTGAACTATTTCATATGTCAGAAGATAACTAATTGTTTGTTAGTAGATATTGGAGATGTAAGTGAGACTTTTCTCCTCATTTACATTCTCGGACATTTCATGGCAAAGAACTGAGAAACCAATCTTTAGAAATAGTGTTCGGTTTTTCGTGGTCCTAATCAGCTCCCTGATGGTGAGCAGCATAAGGCAAAAAAGACGAATATTTTTCGTTTCTCAACATGCCATCAATCGAATGATCATAATTCGAGTTGAACTTTTCTCTTGAATGTAGTGGTTGTCTGATTAATTATACATTGCTGATCGACAATGTCAACATAGTGACGACTAAAAAAGATTTCAGGATCTGATACACAGACGACTGAAAGTAGCATCCATGTTTTCATCTCAATTCACATAACCTTGCATCTTAGCCTAAGCAGAACTAATGATAGTAGTGCAAAAGTACGATATCTTCAATTAATTGTTATTTTTACATGTAACATGCAGTATTTTATCTATTCTGACTTCTAAGCAATGCAGATGTACTGTGTAGAAGACAACAGAGCAGCTATGGGTTGTATATTAGCATAAGGGTGACTCGAAAATGTCTTATTTTTGTATTCTAATTCTCAACATTGATAATAACAGAAAGCATCATCTTTTAATCAATCGACATATTTTCTGAGACTCCTTCTATAATCTCAGGGTTCTTGTCGTATATGTATTGTCTGACATAATCGTTTAATTTTCACTCTTCTATCACACTATGGACTCATAAGAAAGTTTCATATTCTTGAAATGCATTTTCAGAAGTCCAAGTTTCGAAAATTCATAAATATATGAGTGGAAAATCTACCATAACATATCAACAAATGTGTCTGTAGAAAAGTGTCAGGAGCGCGAACTGCTGTCTCTTTTCTCACTACATACACTTCAACACAATAACAATCGTGTTTCACATTTGAATTAAGTAAGACTTGTGCTGAAAATTTAAAAAAATATATTTCGATTAATCCTAAATAACACAGCTCCTAATCCTAAAACATTAGCAAAAGGCTTTATATTTATATTATACATCATCTTTATCCGATGACAGAACAGAACGGAGCTAACATTAATATTTGTTTTGACTTACTTACATGTTGTTTTTTTTAGATTATACACTGATTGCATCTCGTCTTGAGAATGCTTCTCTCACTGATTCTTCTATTTATTTGCATTTCAGTCTATCCAAGCACTTCGTTTACTTGTTCCAAAAATACTACTTATCTCCAAGTCGAGCTACCGACCAAATGGACCAGTGGTTCCATCAATTGTTTCCATTATAAAGCGAAAGAACCTGATATAGATGTATTTGTTGTGAATAATGATACATTTATACTTCGTGAAAATAAGTGCATTAATTATGAAGCTCCATTCATGTATCTTCTCTTTGGCACAAAGAAAATCTTACTGATCGATAGTGGTGCAACCGTCGCATCGACTTCATTTCCCATCCGAAAACATGTTGAAGGTATCATTAATCGTTGGTGTCTGAATAACAAGAAACAACGTAAAGATCTCGAGCTAGTCGTTGCTCATACTCACAATCATCTTGATCATATTGCCGGCGATGGACAATTTCAAAGTCAACTGTATACCACTGTTGTAGGTACAAGCGTAGAAGATATGAGTTACTTTTTCAAACTGTCAAAATGGCCATATTCGATTGGCACTTTTGCGCTTGACAATCAGCGTCAATTAGCCATCATACCTATACCAGGTCATGAAAATGCTTCGATAGCCTTCTACGATTGTGCGACTGGATTATTGATTACAGGTGATTCATTGCTACCAGGACGTTTATATATCGCAAATTTTTCGGCTAATGTAGATTCGATTGAACGTCTATTGTACTTCATTGAGTCAAATAATCTCAATGTGAGTGCTATTCTCGGTGCACATATTGAAATGACTCAAACAGATAAAGTTGATTATCCAATTGGTGCTACCTACCAACCGAAAGAACGTCTACTCAATTTATCATTAGATCATTTGCATCAACTCAATAATGAATTGCAAGAACAATGGAAAGCAGGTTTCGATCAACGACATAAAGCCTATTATGATGCATTTATTGTCGATCCTAATCCATCTCAATTACCTCCATATCCGTCCGACGGACGAATGGCTGAACATGGATTCATATTATTACCATTAAGTACATTAGGTCTCGTTTGGATTTCTCACAAACCAATGTTTCGTACACCACATGACTTTCAGCTAGTCTTCACGGCAAGAGTGACGTATTCAAATTTGAATCATCTACTCTTACCAACAAATACGAGTATTCTTCAAAACCAATGGACCATCTTGCCGGATTTATGGTCATTGAATAATTTACTCAATGGTAATATGACAACATTTTCCGCTCAATTCTTTATCGGAAATTTTGAACAAGGTGGACAATACTTATGCAATATTACCCTCGAAATTGTTTGGCCTCCTCTAACTGTTATTCGATTGAATGCATCCGAAATTGAACCCTACCGACCGCTACGCTACTCGAGCTACTTTCTTTCGAATACGATCGTCAATAATCAAACTGTAATTCATCTGTACCTTCTACATCAAATACATGTACAACCCGATTTTGATACGATAGCGCATGCCATTATTGACCCACTGGATTGCACAACGGATATTAAACGAGAAAAACTTCTTGATTTATTAACAAAAAATGGAAACGAGTGGGCATTTCCAGGTCTGGATAACGAACTATCGGATCGGCTAACTGCATCTTCGGGTGTTGTTCGTGCACAACTTCTAGGCGACATCTATTCTACAGTCTGTTCAATGTTTATCATCGAAGAAATTCAATGCACTCTAGGTCCGGATTTTTATGATAATTGCCATCTAACATCTCATTCAGCCTGGACTTCTTCTTTTTCATTATTAGCAATTCTTTCCTTGACTTTGTTGTCAAAAAAACTCTAATTATGGATTTACATATCGATTCAGATGAATACTTTCGATAGATTGATTATTGAATCTAGTAGTTTGTAGTAATGCAATAAACATAAAATAGCACAGAGAAGCTGAGCATCGAATTAGAGATTGATACCCTATTTATTATACATACGATTTAGATTCGAATTTCATAGTGAATACATTTGAGTAGGACGAAACAATAGCTTATATTTTAATTTATTTGAGAAAAAAATCGCATTATGTTGTAAATCGTTGAATTCAATTTCAAATGTCTAGATCGAATATTCATAGATCCTGGTGAATTCAGAGTGTGTGTAGAACCATCTTGAAATCAATTAAATAAAAACTAAAATTTCAAAAAAATCTTAGAATCGTTAAATGATAGTGGTTAGTAAATTCTCGGCGCCATTTACATCAAATTAATGAAGGATGCGTGTTATGAGACGGGCTTTTTTCATTCACAGATTGCTTCAATAGTAAGTATATCGCTTTCAATGACTATTTTTCAGATTATTTCGAGTAATGGCCAATAAGATGTAAGAAAACAAAAGTCTACTCAAGAATTTGAAGAGTAGAACAACAAGAACAGATAAATCAATGATAAGTGCAAAGACACTGAATGAAACGTTCAGGGCGATCCATTGATATGATGTATCGAATAAAATTACAATCTTATTTATAGATCATTTCATGTAAAGGTAAACTTTCGAGCAATGTCGGCATTCAATCATTCTTTATAATGAGATTCCTCAGTAACTTGGAGCGGTTTTTTGTTTGCCTCATGACATTGATCATTAAAATGAGCAATGTAGCAAAACCATGACAATATCTTATTAGTAATTAGGATATGTGAGTAGGGATGGATGAAAGAAAGAAGTACATTCACACCCTATCCGCTGGATACCACAAATAAAGTGAATTATAAGAAGCGAGTCAGAAGTCAACAGATAATTACTGTAGCTACCAAATAATGAACGTAATAATTAGTTTTTTATAGGCGAAAACAATATATTTTATGTTATTTACATGGTAATTATTGGATGTAAAATATCGACATTGTACTCATCATCATCATTAAGGAAAAATAGCTGGCATAGGTGGTGATATTGGTGGTAGAGTCCTGCAACGGGGTCGGGTACCCGGCACCCGACCGGACCCGAAACTGTGGTCCGGGTACAAATTTGCCGGGTCGGTTCGGGTGCCGGGTATAAAAAAAAATGCCGGGTCGGGTGCAGGATTTGAGCATACCCGGTACCCGACCGGTAGTCGATGACATCTTAACAAGTAAAAGTATTTTACACTCTAGGATAGAGTCCTGCAACGGGGCCGGATACCCGGCACCCGATCGGACCCGGAACTGTGGTCCGGGTACAAATTGTTACTTGATGAAATTAAAAGAATAGTATATTTTGCCATATGAAATAAAAGTTTGAAAAGTGAATATAATTTTGACAATAACAATCAAGTGCTGACAATTTCAAGGCTGGGCCGGGTCCGGTCGGGTACCGGGTAGAGCTATCCGGGTCCGGTTCGGTTCCGGGTTTGAAAAAAATGAGCCGAGCCGGGTCCGGGTGCGAAAAGTAGTACTCGTGCAGGACTCTAATTGGTGGTTACCCATATCATTACATCGAACCAGTCGGCTTTATAGATTCATCCAGATTGAATCAATAAATCGACCGGTTCGAGTTCAATTATGATACATAGTCCAAAAAACAAATAAAATCTGTTTTGTTTTATTTTTATGCACAAAGCAAATAAAGTGCAGCAAGTACTTTGACAAACTTTGAATAGAAAACCAGTGTAAGAAAACTAAGCATTGAGGTTTAAAAAAATTTGAAAATTATTTTTGCTTATCGATTTATTCGAATATGATGAAATATATAAAATATATTAAGGGTCAAATTGATTTTCATTTAACTTAATTCGTTTATGATTATGTTTGATGCAATCTATTTTCTTTTCAATCCATATAACATCGCATCTATCATGTCTTCGAAATGTTGAATCCATAGTGTTTGGATTAAACCAATCGATGACTTCTTGAGAGAATTTCAAACGTGTTATTTCAAATCGTACAACTAACAGATTTTGACATCGTTTCAAAATGGTTTCAATTTGATCTAATTGATTGATCGGTGTTTGTAAACGTTTGATCTGACGTGGAATTATTGAAAATATGTGATTCAAAAATGGATACAATTCATATTTACAACAACGACTATGAATTATTAAAGATGAAAGAGAATATGCTTGTTCAAGAATAGAGATAATTTCAAACAAAAGATTTTGATTATTCTTGTGGAAACAATGACTTTCTAATTTGACTTCAACCAATTTTGAAACATCAACTACTGAACGAAGAAATTCCAATGAATTCATAGGAGATCGTCTTTCAATCGTTAAATTAAGTTTAGTTATATTAGGAAACATAGCATTACTTTTTGTTAATTTCTACAAATAAATAAAAAGAAATATAGTTTAATAAAATTAATCTTAAGACAAACTTTTTCTTTCATAATTCCATATGTTGATAATTTCAATGGTAAAAAAGGTTCATTGATATACTGTATTGCAAATAGATCATAGTTCAATAATATTGTCGAATTAGAACGATGGATATAGTAAGAATCTAATTCATATTGAAGAACAGACTTACAAATTGGTATTGAATAAATTTGAATTCTGTTCGAATCATTAGACCTAAATTGACAGGTTACAAACCATTTTTTATATTCAATCCAAAATGAACTTCGAAATGATTCAATTATTAAATCAAGATCTTCTGGAGTTTGAAAAACTGATTTCGTAATATCAATAAAAAACTCAAAATTATTCAAATATGAAAGATTCATCTGAATAAATTGTTCGCATCATCTACCATCTAATTCACATTGTTCACCAATTAATTTTAGATAAATAAGTGATGGCATTAATAAAAGAAATGATTCAAGTTGATCGATTGTAACATATAGTTTTTCTACTGTTAATGAAGTTAATTGTAGAAAAGAATATGTCTGTTTCATATTCTTAGTTATGTTTGGTAAATTTTGTTTCAGAACAAGTCTATGAAGATGAGGAGAACCCAAAACAATAGTCAATATATTGTCAAAATTAATCTCTGAATCTATAGTTAAATACTTGATTCTAGAATTGACAGACCATCATATATTAGATATTCGATCCTTTTTAAGATTCAATTCAACTTTGCGAATAGTGGATTGTGCTAAAATTGACGAAAGAAAATTCAATGTTGTTTTCTTTCATCTATTATCATATTCTCGGATATGCAATGAAAATGAAGTTAGCAAATTTAAATTCATATACTTCAAAATCATGTTCAATTGGGATTCTTTAATACCAAAAAAAGTTATTGAATGAAGTCGAGCAAATTGTCGAAGATGAATCAATGAAATAAATGAAGCTATTTGATTTGGAGTATACTCATTATCACAAAGCCTTAATGATATAACATTCTGAGGATAAATTAAACGACACAATAGATGAAAATTTGACTTTGGTATTGATTTAAAGTCCAAATTATATCAGTCATAACTATTGACCATTGCTTGAAATAATCGACATGTTGGTCGAATTGAAAATAAAATAGTTTGAGCATCAAGATTATCAAAAATATAATGAAATATTTCTACTGGTAATATTTGAATCGATGGATTCATATTATTTGATATTGAAAATAGAAATATTCTATGTTGGAAATTCCTATACTTACTTCTTACTAATGTGACTAATTGTAAATGTTCCTGTGTAAAATGATTCATTTTTACCTGCGACAAAATAAAAACAGAATGAAAGAAAATATTGTGCTTCTTCTTTTTCTCACGTATTATTTATGTCGGAAACTAAAAAAGATAGATTGAATGGATCATTAACTTATTATTTTTAGTGAAGATCTCAAACTCTACAAACTAGTTGTATTAATCAGGTTTTTTTTCGATATTCTTTTTCAAATATTATTTCTCAAAGAAACGTTTGGTAGCTCATAAAAAGTCACTTCTTAAATGAAGCTTTTGCATAGAAAAAAATTTCAATCAATAATTTATTTTCATCACTTGTTTTCTTCAACGTTAATTTTGAAGAAACTCGATCAGAACAAGTGATATTTTTTTATATAATAGATGTTTTAAAAGTTGCTTGAAATAAAACACACAAATAACTCCTAAGCAAAACAGACGATTTGCATCCATTATTTAATTGTGATGTCCGTGTGGCTACTATTCTCTGTTCCCACATCCATATCCGCACTCACACTCTCTAGTGATATACACAGACATGTAACAGTCGCTACAACAAGAACCCTTTTTTCTTCAACACAAGAGTAGGTACTATTTGAATAAGTATTCATTTTGTATTTTAAGAAAACAAATATTCTCAAAAGTCGAATATTGATCTCGTCAAAGTCAAGTATATTCTACACAATATGAAAAAATGTCTGTCTTTATGTGGTACCATCTATTATTTCAAATAACACTGATTGACAAATATTGAATTCTTTGTGTGCTTAAAATTTGTATCTGTTCATATTCGATTACACCAAGCCATTTGTGTTTCCCCATATATTGTTGTCTTGTTTCTTATGTCGAGACTCTGTCATACCATAAATCGCAATCGGTACTTAGTATTTTTGGCTCGTGCATCTGTTTTTACGGTTGATATCTTCATATGCGACTACGATCTTAATTTTGAAAAAGAAAAGGATACTACTTTCTCTATCTCTTTCATTTGAATCATTTAACAAAACAGCTGCTTATGTATTCTGTAATTAAGATACAATATCCTTGCATTCTCGCCTGCGTTTGTTTATGATTATAGATCGAATATATGCTGTTCAAAATAGTTTCTGAAGTAGTTCAGTCATCGTATGTTCGTACGAGATCAAATTTATCTATTAACTGAGTACTTGCATCATACGCTCTCCACATTAAGCAAGATCCTTCACGAGCCAATGTGATCACTGCAAAATTATATCGTCCAGTTAGGCTCGTCTCATAAAAGCCCCAGTCCTCTACCCGTTCTGAATCGAGTTCACCTCCAGCACCGCCGATCACTGTTATCATCGTGCCCTCTCGAAGGCGACCGACAGAATAAGTGAAGTTATCCTTGCCTTGTAAATTGCGTCTTCGCTCCCAATGGTTCCTTATAAGGTGAACACGTTTACGGTGTCTATTATTATTCACGTTAGTTTTCAGTTCGTCTTTGGTGAGCTCTTTCGCCATCTCATTCGAAATCCATCCTCGTGAATACGCATGCTGATGTCCACTGATAATCAAATCTACTCCACCACTCATGAGGATCGGTACTAACTGAGTTCGTACGTAATCTCCCCAATGTTTTTCACCAAGTTCTTCCCACGCACGAGGTTCCCAGTATTCAATGAAGGGTGCGATATGAACAATAGCAATTCGGAATGATGCACGGTTCCATGTCTCTAAACGAGTTTCTCGCTGAAGCCAGTCTAATTGAGCTTTAAATAGATGCAGTGGTTGTGAGTCGAGCACGATGAAACGAGCTGTACCTAGAGTTGCACTGAACCAATTTTCGCCTTTTCGTGGTCCCGTCGTGTATATGTAACGATTTGTCGTATCTTGGTCGTGGTTACCATGGGCATAGAGAATTGCCGGTGGCGAATGCATTCGTTTACTTCTCCAAGCGAATGATAGCGGATCGGCAAAATTGGTTTGCCATTCTTCAAGAGAATTATAAGACTGAACTGCATCGCCTGCATGAATGAGATACTGTGGAAAAACTTCGCTGGCGGAAGACATCTCGTATTGCAAGGGATAAGAAGCAGGAAGACTCGCAAGAGAACGCAGGATAGCCATGAAATTTCGAAGACCAGATTGATTGTCACTAATAATTCCGATGTGAAATGTTTCATTCCCACTCTCTCCCACCCAGTAGAATTCTTTTCTTGGATGATGATATACGCGTTTTCCATTTTCCAATGAAAAGATTTCATATTGGTACCGTGTATTTGCTCTTAAGGGTCCAAGATGAGTACGGAACACCCAGTGTACATCATCCAAACTGATTGGACGAACAATAATAGGAAAGCGTTGGCGAGCACCATCTGAAGGGAACAAGCCGATAGCGTACCATTCGAAAATAACATCATTTAAAGGATGACATGACATTTCCCAAACGAGATCGGCATTTGTCGACGACAAGACGTAAAGAAGTGGATACTTTCGCATAGAACAGAGCGAATGGCTTGGGATAAGACCCGTGCCCCAGAACTGCTTTTGGTAGACAAAATTACGTGCTATCCAGATCCCAATGACAGCGAAGTCAGACAGGAACGGCTTCCAGATGAGCAAGTAGAAAGCGGCTAAAACGAATACGAGAAGAAATGGAAGTTGCCATCGATGTTTTCGTCGACGGTTAATGCATTTGTGAAAAACGTTGCATATCTGCCACCTTCTGATGGTTCTATCTTTAGGCTTATGATCGATTTGATCTCTAGTGGTGTACGAGCAACATGTATTGAAATATCTATTCATAACACGTGACTTTTATTATTCCAAATTAGAAAAAAAGTAATAAGTTTTTTGTTAAAAAACCAATTGCACTTGCTTTATACTCTCACTGATTTTGCCCTTTTTTTTACACACATGTGCTTCTTGAGTTTATTTACTTCTCTTTTTTTCTCTTTCACTTTTAGTCATTCTTTCTCGTCCTCAACGCCAAGGTGACTAACAGCGGCTTCACGTTAAGAAAGAGAACAGAAATATATGCAGATTGGTTGCACAGTAGACGTCGGAGTAATGAATATATGGCGAAGTGAAGAAAAAAGAGAGCTAAAGACGATGCTGTCGATGAGAATCGAACCACATACGTTCTGATAAATATAGGATAGTTGCTCGCTCACATACCTCTAGCTAAATGGACAGAGTTCTTCAAATATGAGAATTAATGGAATGAGCAGACATATTAGATACAATTGACATTTTCTTGTTAATTTATTTTAAATTTAAAGCCTTATCAATTTTAATTGTAAAATGAATTAAAAGTTTTTATAATTTATTTTTGGATTTACTAAACTTTCTAAAATGCAAATTGATCAACTCTGTTATTAGACCAATGACTAGTATCGTTGAGAAGAGCATGTACAAGATGATTTTTTTTTAAAACTTTTTTGTTTGTTTATTTTTAAAACTATTCTCTATTATTTTTTGATAAAATATAAAAGAACTGAAGATGATAAGAGATGTAGAAAGAAATCAAAAGAAAAAACAACACCTTCGAGGGAACGTGTCGATCTTATTGAAGAGTAGACTCATGTCGACACCAGCATCCTATATTTGTCAGTCCTAAAAAGCGCAAAGTTTCTTGTGTTCTTAGATGATATGCAGTTATCATATTCTATTAGAAGCACATTATGTTTCGTGACCAACAAAAATCTATGTTGTGCTTAGAAAGTGGTAGCTGGGTTTTTAATGATATTGAAAATTCAATGCAAGTGGTTAGCACTGCGGGTGCCTACTCAATGAAGCTCAGAACTGCTTGTTCTACGATATTGAAGATATGATTAAGTAGAAATATCTATAATTTCGGTTGCCGTAGCCTTTAATTGTAAGAGATGGGTTCAGAACGTTTATGTAACAAGATTGCTTAGGAATTGTTGACACCTATTCTTTGGAAAGAATTCAATCTTTAAGCATTATTGATCAATATAAATATAAGAAAGATTTTGAATTTTGTTAGAAACAAGACAACAAAAAAAGAAGAAGATGATTCTTTTCATTCTACGTGGACATATGATTTATCATCAGATACTGAAACACAAGTACAATACTGGGCTGCATTATTGATAATAATACTTTCTGAAATATCTTACATTATGGGACGGTTAAAACTTTGAGCAGTAAACAACATGATGTCTTCAACAGCATCTCAAAAACTGTTCAATGAAAAACATGCTAGCGCGAAGAGAGTAATTAATTAAAGTTTTTATTATTTCGAGGTATTGTAAAATTGATTAGTGATCTTGATGCATCGAGTATTGAAGAATTTCAAAAACAACTGGAAGACTAAATTAATATAGGCTCGTTCGAAACAATTAACGAGAACCAATTAAATGGATTAGAACCGTCTGGTACATGTAATGTGTTTGATCTGCTTGAAGATGAAGAGCAAGTACATAATAATCATATCACTATTGGGTACTTGCACAACTAGTATTTATTAACCTTACTTTGAGTTATATGATGAGTTTTGGGAATTCAACAGTAGATTTCTTATTTATACTTTTAAAAACTCTTCCTTTTCCTTTTTTCTGTTTTCTAGATCCTTTCACATGGACTACGATGACTGATCCTGTATTATTTCCAGAAACTGTGGTACAAGATCCTTCAATTATTAATAAACATTCATGAAACCCATCAAAAAAATCATTTCAGTGTAAATCATTAGCAGCTAATCAATTCAAAGGTACTGATTAGAAAGTTTTATTCATCGTGTATTATTAATCGAGTAATCATTTTAGACACAGCTTTGAAACAAACAAATTCATGAATATGTTAAAAATGAAAAAGCTAAGATATTTTAATTCAGAAATCGATAAGTAATAACTATTACTATTTGCGTTGTTCATACGTGACTAAATAAAACTTTTTATTTTGTTTCTTTTGTATATTTATAGCCTCTTTTCTGTTGACACAATAGAATGTGTGACTTATTTCTATACGTCACTTCATGATAAAAGGAGTCACTTTTTTCTCAATCTATGTAATTCTTCGTTCATTTCAATTTCGTTATTCTCATAGATAGATTGTATTTTATTTTCAGAGTAGAGTAGAAGAAAGTGACGGTTGTTCACAGGATGCACTCGTCCATAACGATATATGCGAGAAAAAAAAGAAGTCACTATCAACTGAAGCAGTGAGAAAAAAATTTGATTCGATTCGCTTTCGAATCCTGTTTCTAATCGTCAAACATTCGACGACAACTCGCTGATATAATTGCGACCGTTTTCTTCTTCAAAATTAAGTTTTAATGAAAATTCTTAAAGTAATTCATGGAATCATATATGTAATAAAATATGTTTGCCAGAATAGCGGCGAGTTCATGTAAATAGTGCAGCATTGTCTGTCAGCCATTGTTCAAGTGTTCGTAAAGGTCGATTGAGAAGAAGAGCTAGTTGAGGAGTGGCGTTCTTGCCCTCTCCATTGAAAGCAAGCTTGATCAAATCGTAGGCAAAGGAATGAGCCATGCCAGAATTGATACAAAACTTGTAAAAGTCTTCAATTGACTGTTGTTCGTACGTGATGGTTCTTCCAAGAATTTTGCTGAAGATTGCTGCTCGCTGTTCGTTATTCAGCACTTCTACACCCATTTCATAGATGCAACGATCGTGCTTTTCTATAGATTCTGTTAGCACAACAATGGCACAGTCGGCAACGTCTATCAATATCGAAACAATGTCAGAGTCTTTTTAACGAACATTTTTTTTGTATATAAAATGTAAAAACATATAAATTAAGACGACTCATTTTGTTTAGCCTGAACTTTTTTCAAAGATTTTTATATGCCAATGACTAAAACTGAAGTCACGACTGATAACTACTTCCTTTATGTAAAGCGTTGAATCACATGTTCTCAAGTCTGTCTATCCGATTATCGGAAGTGTACTTCTTCAAGCCGGTAAGATATTCTGCGGTATTTCTTCCTTTGGATTTTACTCTATCTGTGTGATTTATAATAGATGTGGTTCAAGACGCTTACCCCTCGTATCAATCCAAGTAGTGATTGACGTCGGAGGTCCGCATGAAACAAGTTTGTTTGCTTGTTTTACAAGTTGCGCATCACCCATAAAATGATTACTCATAAACGCTCCTGGACGAAGTACGACCAAGGAGCGCATATCGGGATTATCGTCGACGAGTGCCCATAATTTATCTTCACTCGTTTTGTGCATGTATCCAATAATACCTTGATTACCATCAGTACGAACATTGAAAGACGAAAGATCGACAATTTGTCGGACACCTTGGTCGAAAGCAATTTTGCCAAAGATTTCCTTTGTTTGACTCATTGATGCTGGTTTGTAGGTATCACCAACAACAAGTAGAAAGAGACGCGTGTGTCCTCGAATTGCTTTTCTGTACACATCGATAGATGTGTAAGTACCCACAACAATAGACAGTTGACCAGTGGCTAATTCATCTTTGAATAAATCGTTTGCTTTTGTCTCATTTCGCACGTATGCTGTCGTTTCGATGCCTTTTTTTATTAGACCACGCACAACTCTACTACCAATGTCTCCACTCGCTCCGATGACAAACACACGATCCCTGTTCGATGACATAACAAAGATAAAAATGAAAGAAGAGCCGAAGATTCACTGTTAGTCTTATTTTCACTGATAACCTGGCAATATAAAAAACGATAGAAATGATGTGCACGAGATGTTGACAATCTGGGTAAAAGCAGCAAGCAAAAACAAAATGTTGTTATTGATAATGGTAGACATACAGCGATATACTGAGCAATAAAATAGACCATAATTGTGAACATGTAGAAAAATGAGCATTTTAATTGTTTTTGTCTACATTGTTCTGTATTATGGATTCGAACATTTCCCAAGCGATCTCAGCTGTTGATTTGTATGAATTCGATGCTTCGTATCTCAAACAAGTATTGATAGTATTCTTGATTGTTTGGTTTTACTTTTTGTAGCCATCGTTAGTCACGATTATTGATAGTGAGCTTGATATAATTAGATCTACAGATGGGTAACGATTAGCTAAGTAAATAGCAAGAATATCGTGCATTTCAGGTGTATCACAGGAAATATTAAAATGTTGAATGGCACTTATGTTGTTTCCACCATCATTGTATCATATTGTATAACTCCCGATGATCATGTTGCCTGTTCGAAATCGATTCCAACAGGATAAAAACTTCTTCCAGAGAATACCATTAAAATGCATAAATGTTGTGCAATCTAATGGTACTAAACTAAAATAAGACCAATTCGAGTTAAACAGGATTTGTGCTGATCGAATATTATGTTCAACATTATATTCTTTCGATGATGTGCTGGAATTTCGATATCCAGAATGTAAACTACTAGTCACAGCGAACAGTCGAATATTCATCGACAATAATGTGTATTTTTCAAGTACATTGCCTAATGATGTTGCCGGTCCTATTAGAATGCAATGATATCAATGATTCGTCGATGCTTTTCTCATCTCATTTACCCACGCTTGTTCACCATTGAAGAAAACAATCTCACCATCAGTCTGAAACTTTTCTAATGAGCAATCTTCTGCCCTACAAAGATTGGGATAAGTACATTTTTCTAGCATGCATCTCAACTCTGACCAATGTCACCGTTGTTAGATGAAATTCGTCCGTATTATTTTTTTTTTAGGATGAGCGATTGTGCATCTAGTTCGGAGGGAGAGCATAACGTATCAAGTCTTTTTTTTATTCTACGGGAAATGTGAATTCGTTTGAAATAAGTTGTGAAAGTAAGATTTGGAGTGGGTATCATTGACATCTTTCAAAAAAGAAATAAATAATATCAGCACACTAATAACTATAAACAATAGTCGAGATTATTGTTTTTTATTGAATTCAATCTTGAATAACAATTTTTGTGCATTTAGAAAACCTGGCCGGAATATGAATATCAAAAAAGGAAACAACTGAGTAAAAGCAATCATACGGTGATTGAATAATGGAATTGGGTAGACAAGACATATTCATAGTCGCAAAAGCAACTACTTTCATGCTACTGATTCCTTAACATAAAGAAAACACTCATATGCAAACTGACTGGTTGTCTATCGATCAAATGACATAATTTGATTTTACTTTGTATTTGTATAAGAAGTTCTAATGTGAGGCATTTCGATGGTTCGTATTTGCCTTCAATGCATTATTCACAAAGAACTTTGATATCATCAAGAAAAAGAATAAATGGTTGCTGCGCATCGACCCAGTCAAACAAATATTTAACAGCTTTTTCGCTACTGCCTCACTATCTAGAAACAAAATTGAACGAACTCAATGACGACTATTTTCGCCAGGTAGGATTTGTTTGTGCTATGTGACTACGGAGAAAAGATGACTTTACGCATAAAATGCTTAAAATATCATTTACTCCACAATCAGGGTGGCCAGATCTACTGAAAAATCAGGAAAGTTTCTGAAGTTTGAATCTTTCTCTGATTTTCTTCTACCCTTCTAATTTTTTCTGATTTGAGTACTTTTTCCTGATTTGGGTGGATGTGGGGTGTGGGTGTGGGTGTGGAGTGTGAGTGTAGAGAGTGGATACAGATGCGATGAATAAATATATCCATATTCACGCCCACTCACACCACACCCACACTCCGAACCCATATCCACCCACACCACATCCCGCACCCACATCCTCACCCACAACCTCGCAAATAAAACTGAAATTTGTTTCAGATAGATACTAAAATTCATGGTGTTTCGGTCAGAAAGAAACAAAGATAGCGAAGATCAACATTCACACTCGCGCACACACAACCACAGTGTCCTTGTCGAAATGATAAGACCATTTCGTCCTCTAGTCTCAGCATTCATTATCACGTCTATCTATCGAATTGTCACCATGAGATTCAAAACCATCTGGTTGTTTTAAAGTTATGAATTGAAAAAAAGTTATATATGCTCGACGAAAGAATAGTCCATATTTGTACTTCATTTTTGGTCGACGTTATCACAAGCATGGAATTGAATCTCGCTCGTCTTCACAGTGTTATTCTGCAAACAATTATTGAGAAAGGGCATGCGTGTTCGATCGAAGATTTGAGTAAGATATTTCAACGATCATCACAGGATGTCATTCAGTGTCTACATGATCTTCAAGAATATCACGGTGTTGTATTGCATCCAAAATCGTCTGAAATCTGGATTATTCATCCATTCTCTTTGGCACCAACTAATTTCTGGGTAGAAAGTGCTCGAGGAAAATGGTGGGGTAATTGTGCTTGGTGTAGTTTAGGCGTTGCCGCTCTTCTCAAAGAAGATGTCACTATTACAACGACACTTGGTGGTGAAGCGACTCAAATTCAATTTCACATCAAGAACGGAGAAATCATATCTATTCAGCCACTTTTTGTTCATTTTCCAATACCTATGAAAAATGCTTGGGACAATGTGGTCTTTACTTGTAGTATCATGCTAATCTTTAATTCAGAAGCGGCTATTGACAATTGGTGTCAACGACATCGCTTGCCTAAGGGAGATATTCAACCTATCGAAAAGATTTGGAAATTCGCTCAAGTCTGGTATGGAAATCATCTACGCGAAGATTGGAAAAAATGGACTGCTGAGGAAGCTTTATCTATTTTCAGCCAATTTAATCTGACCAGCAAAATTTGGCAAATTCCCGTTTCTAACGTTCGATTTTGATCATTTGGAGAAAAACATTTTCATAGACAGTCATTATGGTTAATCCGTTCGACAGTACTCTTATTTTATATTATGATGCTAAATAGAATTTCTCCTTGATCGACAATAAATGCTCTCATTCTGTACTGATATTGGTCGAAAATTTTAGTTCACTTTGATGCGTTTCAATAGTCATTTTTCTGTGACCCTATGATCAGGATACTATTTCGTATTTATCAGTGAGAGGCCAATACTCTCTACTCTTCATCTACAAAAGAGAAAGCCTTCATTATTTGTTTAGCAAAATGAAAATCAATTGGTTTGAATTGAGTAACTCAACGAATAAATGATGGATTTTGGTCATGATTGACCGAAATCTTCGAAATCATGTTGACTGGTTGAAGTATTCAATCATTTGCCTTCAGAGTTTCCATTATTTCTGGATGATTTTTGAAATGTTTTTTTTTGTTGATGTTTTATTTCAATACTGCAAATGATTGGGAGTGTTATAGTTAGATTCATTTTTTTCTTGCATGAATTAAGCTTGATATGAGATCAAAAATAATCTACTTAAATAGTTTGCACAAAAAAATATTTCTTGTCATCTGCTCGAAACAACGACAGATAGGTACTATTCACTAAGAAAAAAGTATGCATGCTGCTATCGAATTTCTTGCTTCAAGCGCTATGGAATCGTAGAATATCCACAACTATACGCATACATTTTTGAACTATAATAAGCTTCATGAAAAAAATTACCTCAATGAGACACACTCTTTTGTAATACGCTCATATACTTTTAGAGAATCGTAATTAAGGCTTTATCAGAGAAGTTTTAGTGTGACGAGTGGGGCTAAGAAAGAAGAACTATGATACTTACAGTTTCATTCAGAGTATACTAATGCATTTTTTGGGTGTGGTTGTCAACGTAGAATATGAATTTGAGTGAAGAGAAACTCCAGAAGTCCGGATATGGCTTAGCCATACCAATAACTGTATCTAAAAATAAAGATCCATGCAGCAACTGGTGTCATGAATCATCCCAGGTGAGGTTCTGTGGAAAAATAAGTATAAAGTGGACACATACATACAATTGCGCGCCCTTGTTTGCCCATGTGCTAAGAACTTTCTTATATAAAACAATCATTGATATGGTATTTAATCAACAAAAAATCAGTGAAACGAGCTCAACTATAATATGAAAACCAAATGCAATCGATCAATTTATATGACATATGGGGAGTGATTTGTGGCTTTCTATTCAGAGTAGCAACACTCAATAATCATTGATCTAAACAACTAATTCAAGGTTGATAAAAATTTCTTGAATTTCTCGTTTTGTTGAATGAACAGAATACCGTAGGGCGTTGTCTTTGATACCATCGCTAATCTATTTTATTCGTATTGAAAAAACTTTTTAATCTATTTCAAACTTTTTATGAGATTCTACAATATCTTTTTTATTGTTTGACGCATTTTTGATACCCATTCTTATCCAGTCAGCAAAAGTACCAACCAATATCTACTCAGGCATATCATGTATTGCCAAGTAGATTCTGCCTGTTCGAACACTTAATAAATATCGCTCGATGTAATCGTCCATACCATCTCTAATAATTAATAGTTCACAAGAAAGTGCATGAAATACTTTGTCATCAGCTACGCTATATGTAGCTTTCGTTTCGTTCTTAGATGCTTGCTTGGCTTTCTTCATGCCATTAACATATGCATTTAAATGATAGCGAGCATCGTCACGTAATTCAGCTGCTGCAAGCTCATCGTTAGTGGCAAGAAACTCGAACAGAAGCTCATATTTTGAACCTTTCATTTCATACGGTCGTCATTGTGAAATCTGGAGAAGATCAGTCGTGATCAAACGATAGCTCAGTCCATAGTTAATCTTATTTCGTCCCTCATGTACACTAATCGCCGCAC